TAATCGGTCAAAGAGGAATTAAAAATTACTTCTTACTGAGTCCATGACTCACCATGAAGTTATAAAGAACCTTCAAAGGAGAATGACTAAAAGCATGACTAGAAGGGAGGCATCTAACCCTAACTTTTTATCTTTATTTTCTNACTTAAATCTTAGTTTTACATCTATTAAAATTCAAACAGACTTAAATTTTGTATCTGTTGAGTTTTATACCAGACTAAAATTAATATTTTAAGTCTTTTTAATGAAAAGATATCTTAGTTTTATATATGTTAGATTCATGTCTAACCTAAAAGAGAACTTTTTTCTTCATAGATAACATATCATTTCTTTCTCCACTTTCTTCACATATCTCACTGATGGAAGCAGCTCCAAGCTCCATGCTTGAACAACTCCACAATTCAGAATGATGCAGCGAATGAGATTGATGAGTGAACGCGGAGGTGCACACCAGGTGTTTGTGAAAAGGTTCATCGAAGGTTTGATGTGTGTTTGAGGTATCTCAAGCTCAGAAGGCCTTCCAAAAGGGAAGGAAGCTAGAGGAGAAGATGTGGATAAGCACAAGGAGGTTTGAACTCAGAGAATAGGTCTGGAGAAAACTCAACAACAATTCACTATATATTCTAAGTTCAAATCTCCTTGTGCTTATCCAACACCTTCTCCTCTAGCTTCCTTACTTATTGGAAGGCCTTCTGAGCTTGAGAGACCATAAACACACATTTAACCTTCGCTGAACCTTTTCACAAACACCTGGTGTGCACCTCCGCTTTCACTCATCAATCCCATCTGCTGCGTCATTTTGAATTGTGGAGTTGTTCGAGCATGGAGCTTGGAGCTGCTTCCATCATTTGGTAGTCAGAGCCAGCACGTCCACGCTTGTCTTCAAGAGCTAAGCCACTCTTCCTTGCATTTTTCAATTTTCGTGTTGTGCTGTTCTAGTGTGTCACTGTTTGATTGTTTTTTATCACTTCTGCTTTGGTTTAATTTTGTATTTGCTGTTGAGTTTTCTCCAAACCTATTCTCTAAGTTCAAACCTCTTTGTGCTTATCCAGCACCTTCTCCTCTAGCTTCATTTCCTATTGGAAGGCCTTTTGAGCTTGAGAGACCTCAAACCTTTTCACAAACACCTGGACCTCCCCTTTCACTCATCAATCCCATCTCCTTGTCATTATGAATTGTGGAGTTGTTCGAGCATCGAGCTTGGAGTTGCTTCCATCACTCACATTCTCCACTTTCTTCATAAATCACCCTGCCTCTATGTCCAATGGTATGCATGTCATAGTCGGTGCCTCGCAAGCTATGTCTCGCCACCCTCATCCGCGTCACTACCGTCTTGGCCTCTCGCATTGTCACTGTCGCCATGGTCTCTTGCGTTGCCGCGTCACCGCCTCTTGCATTGTGTTGTCACCGCCTCTCGCATTGTGTTGATGCCTCTGCCTCTCGCGTTGCCGCTGTCGCCGCTGCCTCTCGCGTTGTCGCTACCTCCACTACCTCTTGCATTGCCACTATCGCCACTGTCGCTGCCTCTCCTGCCATCGCTACCTCTCACTGATGTCACTGCTACCTTTCTTTTTAGGGTTTTAGATTTTAATCTTTCTGTTATAGTAATCTTTAGGGTTAACAATTTAATGGATTTTAGGAGTTTTTGGGAGTGATTATTAATGGCTCCAATTTCTCTTCTTCTGTTTGTTATTTGTATTATGTTCTATAAAGGATGTGATTTTGTTTATAGGTTCTTGTTGTATTTCTTTGGTTGTGAAGATAAATTGAATTGGGGAACTGAAGATGAATTTTATTGTGATTGATTGAAGTAATAGGTTAATTTCTTAAAGAGGTGCCAATGGAATATATGATTATATTTGCAATTTTGGGTGAAAAATTTAAGTCTGTTGATTCAAACCAGAGTTAAAATTTAAGTCTGTTACTTAATAACACATTTAAAATTTAAGTCTCCCGAATCTAAGTTTGTTCTAAAACAAATTTAAAAAGCTGAGGGTTATAACGTGGTTTTGCTCAACCCAATGTCACTCTCTAACAAGATGAATATGAAAATATAAGCTCTTAGAATATCTCTCTTTTTTATCCTGAAGAATAAATTTGACATTATTTCAGTACTTCATCTAGGTCTTGATATTTATAGTTGCAATTGTATCATTGACCTTTGATGCAGAATATCTTCATATTTTCAAAGATCTTCTAATATCTTTTGTCATTGTATTGTTCTTGTGAATTATTAGTTGTTTCCTATTTAGCCATTCAACAACATGAATTTCAAACATTCTAATGTTGTGGCTATAATCATAATAATATACTCTCGTAGTCTTTAATATGCAGAGTCCTTTTCCTATTTTTTGATTGATTGATATTCATATAACAATATTTATAATAATCGGTCAAAGAGGAATTAAAAATTACTTCTTACTGAGTCCATGACTCACCATGAAGTTATAAAGAACCTTCAAAGGAGAATGACTAAAAGCATGACTAGAAGGGAGGCATCTAACCCTAACTTTTTATCTTTATTTTCTATATTTCATGATGTTAACATTCCTAAAGTTGACTTATATTGACTTGACTTTGGTTGACTTGTTGACCTTAGTTGACTTAACTTAAGTTGACATGTTGACTCCTTGATTGTTTGTTTTGTAAGGTAAGTTTATGCCAACAAGGAGGAGGATTATACTACTTGGAGTGGAGAAGAGCCTTACCTAGTAAAAAAATGCTATTTAAACTCGCACAATAGGGTTCGGTTTACGCGAAACCGAAGCCTATCAAAATATAGTGGAATTTTTGTAGTTTAGTCGAACTTATACGCCTCGATTTAAAGGGAACTGAAGCATATAAGCTTTAATACCTCGGTTAAAGCATACAATTGATGCCTAACAACCTACAATTCCACCTGCTCCTCTACACAATAAACTTTTCAACTTTTCGAGCCTGACCTATTGCTTCGGTTCGTCAGAGAACCGAGCCAGTATGTCATGTTTGGTCATGTTTATGTCTCAGTTCAACTGCTAACCAAGGCGTATAAGTTGAGTATAAATTCAAAAATGTCATTTCATGTTTTTTTTCTCAAGCGTATAGGCATCGGTTCCTTTGTGAGCCGAGGCATATAGTGGTCTACTGCCTCGCTTAAGTGAAGAACCTAGGTAGTATCGCTTCCAGGGGGTTAAAAAATTTAACCTACTATTTAGTTTTCTTCTTCCTCACCCATTTCTCTCGCGTAGAACCTTTCTTCCTCCATTGCTCTCGCACTCTTCTTCCTCCAATGCTCTCTCTCGCTCACACAAGGTTTTTTTTGTGGCCTCCATTGTTAAGCGCTTTGTCCGTCATTGGTGCCTCGGTTACACACTTCTTCCATCCAAGGCTACACAACCCAGTTGACAGAGGGAAATGTCTCTTATCCTCACTCTGGCTTGACGGTTACCCGTTAGAATAATGAGATGACCATCTATGCCACTCCCACTCTTCCAAACAATACAGCTAGTTTGGTTCACCTTTAGAATGACGGTTCTCTCCCTGGTTCTACCCCTCAATCACATTCTTTCTCCAACATCCAATCTAAGGAAAGTTTGGATCTTATTTCTCGTGCCAGTCAAGCAGGACCAAGCGGGGGTTCACTTTGAAGAAGAAGAAATGTAAGCACCTATTTTTCTAGTTTGTTTCCTTGGGAATAAAGATCTATTCTACATGGTTTGACAAGGAGGTGTTTGGAATATTGTTCGAATTTTTGAGAATTTAATTGAAGGATATTGATTTGCTGTCAAGTCAATGGAATTCTAAATGCTATGAGTTGGGGGACTTTGATGCCAACTCTGCGTCTCTCTCCTCGCCTTCCTCCGCCTCTGACCACAAGTCGCAGCTCCTCGCTCCCACGCCCTTCATCCTCGGCAAGCGCATACGCACCAACGATGACACTTACAAGGACAACGTTGTTTCTGTGGGCCCTCCCTGTTGGCCCTAATTTTGGACAAATTTGGAGCTTCGTCGTCGCTCCAGAAACGGTCATGCAGTCCGCTGCCATGTCGATGTCGCAATAGTAGGCGTCGTTCTTTGCTCATCACCAACGTCAACAGCAACAGGCCATCGAAGAAGTGTCGGCGGCTAGGGTCACTAGTAAAAAAATAGTCTTTTAATGCGTTTAATACGCCCCAGTTTTTACAAAACCGAAGCATATTAAAATGCGGTGGCATTTTTGTAATTAAGACAAATTTATACGCCTCGGTTCAATGAAAACCAAAGCCTATCCTCTCTACTGCCTCGGTTATTTACGAAACCGAAGCATTAAAGCCCTCTCCATTAAAGCCTATTGCTTCGTTCGTCATCCACCCGATGTCATTAGGCATTTATGGTTCGATTTGCCTTCTAACCGAGGCATACTAAGCCAGTAAAACTCTTAATCTTAACCATTATTTTCTTATACAACTCCTCCAAACCCTTGGTGCTCCTAACATCAGACCCGACCATTCTGCTCAACTACCGAACCTTAAACCCCTCAACACACCCGTCGAGCTCCCTTTGGTCATTGGCGGCCTGAAACATCCGAGTGAGCCTTTAGTTGCCAGCTTCATCCATTGAGGACCCACAAAGCCTACAGTCGAGTGCAGGGAGGCTGGAGGTCGGGCTGAAAGCACTATAGTGGTCGCGAAAGGTAGGGTCGATGTTGACGACGTCGAGGGAACGGGGCTCGAACCACTGGGCCTCGGTGTGGAATTGGAAGGCGCGGTACTTGTGCGTGTGCGTGTGCGAGAAGGGCGCGTTGTCGAAGGGAGGGGAAGCTAGAAGGAGGCGACAGAGGAAGGAGACGGAGGGCAGATCTGCGCGCATGGAGGAGCGAAGGGAAGATCTGTGACGAGCGGAGAACCACCCGAGGACGGAGGATTCGTGGAAGGAAGGGGAGCAGAGGAAGTCAGTGACGGTGGCAAGGAGGGTGGGGACGGCGGAGGATATGAACACAGCAGCCTGATCTAGAGACTTGGAGATGGCTCTTGAAGTGGTTGATGGTGGATGATGGCAAGCTTCGTGGGGGAGACACGCTCTTGGCTAACAGAGGCGTAATGGTGGTGGTCGGAGATGCTTCTGTCGACGGTTTAGGTGGCGCGAAGAAGCTGAACTGCATGGATAAGTGGCCTCTGACCACGTCGTTGGGGGAAGAACAGAGAAACCCTGGTTTTCTGTTTCACCATGTGCGAAGAGGAAGAAATTTGATCTAAAAAGCATCAGCTTAAGTCCATCTTCAGGAAAACTTGACATGATTTGGGTATGCCCTTTGCTGTGTGACACGCATTTTGCTTCTCTGGATTTGGATATGGATGACGCGGTGTTGTTAATTAAGTATGGACCGATGTTTTCCCTTATTGCAGCAACAAAACTTGACATGTCCATCAAACAAAGCTCATGATGTTTGCTCCTTCTCTAGATAGAATGAACCGAGTCTAAAGTTTGAAAAAATTAAAAAGAAACACGCTACTACCTAAGTTATCAAAGAATCGAGATATATTCCTGTCTTGTTTTATCTCGGTCTATAACCGAGGCATAAAGCTTAACCTTTTTACTTCGCCCACATATGCCTCGGTTGTAGAACCGATGCCTATAAACATAAACAACAGGTGCCTTTTCTCTTTATTGTACTAGTGGGTAGGGAATTACCTTCCGGGATATATGAATTTTGGTCGGAGAGATGGCGAGCATCGTTGATTGGGTAACGGTGGTGGTGGTGTTTTTTTGGTATATATATATCATCTCGTGTAGTGGTTGTTGCTTTGTTGTGTGTGGTGAAGCAGGAGATTCTTAGGGTTAGGTTTTTTTTTCTTAGTTTTGGATGGAGAAGTCCATCAATTAAGAAATTATTCAATTAGGGTTTTATTTTAGTTCCTCCTTATGGTTTAGAAAATTAATTAGGTGCTAAGAAAGTTGGATAATTGTCTTAGATTCTAGGGCTTTTGTTGGAGGAGAATGTGATGAAGTGATAACATACTGTGTGGAATTGTGATGCTGAAATATTGAAGCTTGTCGGTGTGGAAGTGCGGTTGAATTTGTAATGTTGTTGTGGTGGTAGAAGAAAATTGTTGCTTCTGTTTCACTTGCGTAGTGGGTTTTGAGTTTTGAGCGATCGGGTCTACAAGTTTGGTGGTGGTGGTTGCAGTTGTGGTAATTCTTAGTTCTTGCAAGCTTGTTTCTGAGGTGAGTGGATTGTGTTTCCAAAATTCAACCGTCACTCCCATATTGTTGGAGCATCCTACTTTACATTCCGACATGGGTTGAGAATGAGAAACCTCTGCATACATAGATGGTGTTGCTAGTTGGGGAACTGGTCTCAAGCTTGGCAATGACTTAGCTGGTGTTACGTACAATACCCATAGAGCACTCGGAATCACCCTCTTCTGCCTTGGAACCCTTCAAGTATGATTTATGAGATGCTCTTCATTTTTTTGTTTTCCGAACCCTCTTCTACCTCTTTCGCTGAATACAGGTTTTTGCTCTACTTTTGAGGCCTAACAAGGATCACAAAATCAGAATCTACTGGAACTTCTACCACTACGCCATCGGATACGCCACCATAATCATCAATATCATCAACATATTTAAAGGGTTCGAGGCATTGGAGGTTTCCGAAGGGGATCGCTACAATGACTGGAAGCATACTTACATTGGCATTATTGCAGCTTTGGGTGGTATCGTTGTGCTTTTGGAGGCTTAAAAACACTCTACTGCTTCGGTTCAAGTCCTAACCGAGGCAGTACAGTCCGAGATACTGTCTCGATTCAGAAGCAACCAAGGTGTAAAGTCCTACAAAAAAATAAAACCAAAAACGCTACTGCTTCGGTTACCATTAAACTAAGACAAAATCCTATCCTGTTTTGCCTCGGTTCACAACCGAGGCAAAAAGGGGTAGACTTTTTGCCTCGCTTGTATATTCCTCTGTTCAGGAACCGCTACCTATAGGCGAAAATAACCGCTGTCGTTTCCCTTGACTATACTAGTACCTTTGGATCATTGATGAGGGGCATATATTTGGAGAGAAAGAAGAAGCTTGGAGTTAACCTTCTCTTCTAGAAGGTAGAGCACATATTTTCTATCCAATTGTAACTCACACACACGTTAAACCCTCTCACTCTACAATGTGAACCCCAAGCATTGGGTCCTCTCCCTCTACCCATATATTCCTTTCCTATAATACTCCCATATCATGATACCATATGCACAACCATCATAAATACACCACGAATCCACTCTTTTACTTATTCTTCATGTGAAACAGATACCCATATCACCCCAAGCCACTTTCTACATGAATCAAGAACCCTTCCATAAACCAATTCTTGTTATTGACGCAATCAAATTAATACTACTAACAACTTGAGTATTGCTCAAACAGTTTAGAATAAAATAAACTTGAAAATACATTGTAAAAACTTAACAATACATCTTCAAACATTATATAATCTTCTTCATTGTATAACTTGAGTCTTCTCTTTATTTTCAAAATAAAATATACAAGTTTTATATATTCACCAAAGAAAAATAATCTTTACTGTGTTTTGGATTTGGGACACGTTTTTTAATTTCCTATACTGTTTGAAAAAAATGTTAAATTTACCTTCAGACATATTCTTTGATGATCTGGAATAAGTTAACTAGATTTTTATCTTGTGATTTGGAATTTCCGGTTTAAATTGTGCAAAAACTTTCCCAATACTAATATATCCTTCTTTATCTTGGTAGAAGATCGAAGTCTCGTCCTTAATTTTTAAAAATAGATTACACTTACTTGTGGAGAGGTAAAAACCATACATCAACACGATGTTCAAATGATTTGAATAGGTTTTAATATATATTATTATCATGATTATTTTGTATTTTAGTTAAATGTTTACGTACATATTCACTAACATGTATCTATTTAAAATAAAAAATATTGAAAAAAAATTAATAAAATTGCAATAAATAAAAAGTTCATAGATTTCTATCTACCACTTGTGCATTGACACACGGATTATTATTACACCAATTAACATAATACCATCAAGAACATGAATCAATTAATATATGGTTGTTCTATCCTAATCAATGGTTGAGTTTTAGTGGTTGTTTTATAATAATTCTATCAGTTGGATTAATTTGTCTAAGATACACATACATGTTTCAAAAATTTTCTATTTAACATATCAACAAAACCTATGCTTGTAATATTAACATAAAATAGTATTATTTTAATAAATCATATCTATCATTACTTAGAATTAACGTCAGAATAATTAAATACACTTTCTTATTTAATTATTTGAAATATTTTTTAAAGACAAAATCAAAACATAATATTTCAATGAGGTGTCTCCCTAATATGTTTCATAGCGATCTTGTCGGAGAGGTATATTGCTTAAGTAATTTGGAATGTAAATATACTAATTAGGTAATAATAACTTTATAAGAGTTACAATTACACGTACGGTGTAGGCTGAATAGGCCTCTAGATATAAGGTATTTGAGGCTAACGTTCTAATATGGACACGAGACAGGTCAAAGGGTTCTGATTTAGGTTAGAATCAATGTTTGGTGTGTCACAGATATAAATACCTAAAATTTTCTATGTCAACGTTGCTCAAGCCAATTCTTGGGGCTTGCGCTTCGTCCTTGGCTTGTTCTTGCAAGCTGCAATTGAATTCTTGAGAGTTCAATATGGCAGAGTTCGAAGAGCAAGTAAAGGTTACAGCAAAGAAGACCACAGCTGCAGCGAAGAAAGCCAAGAAGGCTATAGCCAAAGGTAGCAAGAAGGCTTATAGTGCGTGCAAGAAAGGTTGGGCCAAGCTAAAACAAAGCATCAAGGAGCACAAGGAGAAGAATAAGAGAATAGAATATTTGGGTGATCGTCGTCGTTGATGAGATCATTCTTCTTCATATTTGTTCATTGTTCTTGTGGATTACGCATGCAGCATGATTATTGGTTCTTGTCTTTGTTGCCTTAATATAATATTTTATTGATTCAATGGGAAAGAAGTGCCGAATTTGGATCAGTGTTATGTATTGCTTGTTTATGTTCTTTTCTTGTTGCAGCATTTCGTTTCAGGTTTTACTTTTGATGCAATTCGTCTACATTGCATGTTTGTTCTAATTAAAATCATATAAGTGTAACTTACATTACACATATCTAGTTTTATAAATGCATAAAATATAGTAAATATATATAGAAACCTACTAAATATATTAAAATTTTAAAAATATATTTTAAATTATATATATATATATATATATATATATATATATATATTATATATATATATATATATATATCTATAATAGTATATATAAATTGGGAGCCAAGCCCCCTGACTACGTTACAATCCACCATTGCTCACAATATTTGTGTAGATTTTGAATGAAATTTAACATATGTTATGTTATATCTATAATTTTTTTCGATTTCTTAAGATACATCCACACTTATAATGTGTTATAATATAAATTTGGATAATGACACTATAAACTATACTTAAAATACTATACAATGGTGGTATGTCGCTATACGTATTATTCTAGGTGATACAATCAATCAAGAGTTCACATTTCGCTTTTAAGATAATAACAATACAAGAGAAACATACTGATGTATCAAACACAACTCCTAAAAAAGTTATTTCAAGTACCATATTACTCATAATCCATGATAACTGACAGATATTAATCACATTGTCTGAGTCGAAATATTTAGGTTTTATTGTGAAGACCCATAAAAAAAAATCTATATATATATATATATATTTAATAGTAGTAAATTTTAGTATTTTATTATTAATAATACTTTAATGGATAAAAATGTAAATTTTGGATCTAAACTTATAGTAATTGTAGAAGGAGAGGTTCAACTTTTTGGTAACTTCTTTACGTAAATTTTTGTATTGCCTAGTCCAAAGTAAATAGTAAATAGTAAACAGGAATAGTAAAACTCAATTTTCATGCATTTGGATTTCTTTGCATGGAAGCAAGTAGTAAGGTAGACCATTTGGATCAGATTTGGTGAGAAAATGATTGAACTCTATTTTTCCAATAATTACCCATAATAAATCATCTACCCTATTCATGCCTAGTCCATTTTTTTTTACTCTCCCTCACCCTGGGAGGGCCGCTCATTCTTAAAACCAGAGAAGAGAAATCAGTGAGAGACCGTTAGAGAGAATTTTTATTTGACAAGAAGGGTATAGGTTCTGACCAGGTTTCGGAGAAATCAATTCAGAGCAAGAGACGTCCTGGACTAGAGGTAGGGACTAACCTTTCTATGCTTTTATATTATGATTTTAGTATTTCTATGCTTTATATTATGACTTATTATGGTTTTTATTACTATTCTATCTTGAAATTATGTATGAATAACTGTTACTGCTTACTGTATGTTTTCTATATTGAAGTCCGGTGTTTAATATTTATGCTGTTGTTTTTGAAATCTGTAAATAAGAAATTTGTTAAAACTATTTGAGAACACCTTTGGCTAAGGAAAGATTTGGTACTTAAGTTGTCATTGTGACGCACCTCTCTTTCCTGGAAGTCTACTCGACAAGTTTTTAACTTAAATCTATTGAACAATTTTGTACATTCAAATATTGTGTCACTATATCTTGTTGGAATGAATGTCTGATGAAATTCATTTTTGTGGTAGATATGGAATTATTAATTATACTTGTGATAATTGCATTTTATTATACTGCATTTGAATTTATCATCTGAACCTGTTATGGGTAGTATTGGGAGATTTTGTAAGGGTATAAGGTGAGTTGAGGAATATATAGGTATGAGTCTTGTGGAGAGATTACATAATGTTATGGTATTTGTGTATTGTTGTATGTTAGGTCCCGTATTGAGGTTATCCTGATACTCTAATATCATCTAGTCCCAATAGAGAGGGATTGAATTTGTGGTGAGAGGAGCAGAGTCCT